ATTATCGTCATGAATATATTACAGATAAAGATGATGATGATTTAAATGATATTTTTGATGGAAAAATTTATAAAGAATTAGTAAATGAAAATTTATTTGAAGATAAAAAAGATGTTGCCTTTACATAGTGATTTTACCTGTGGATACATTATCCAGATATCCATATAGATATTCAGATATTCAGATAAGTAATTTATATAGTGATGTGTAATTCTTACAAACTACAACTGTTAGACAAGATATCAGAGTGTTATTTTTTTTTAATTGCATAATAATATTAATGTTTTATAATATACTTTTATGATTAAATTCAGATAGAAGGGTTTATATGAGTGATTTACAAATAATAAATTTTAGTATATCAAGTAATTATATTTCAAAGTAAGATGTTTATTAACGAGATAAGAGAATAGAAATAAAAAAAATAAAAGAGATGACAAGAGAAAAGAAAAAAATAAAATACTAAACTAAAATGTAATGTAATAGGTCTGTTTGCCTTTAAAAACTACTAGAAAAACTGACTTGTCAAATCCTACTTTTTACATAGTCTAAAAAGCTATCTATTTATATAAAATACAATATATAGAAAAATATAACTAATATGTCTAATATATCATATATGTCAAATATGTCCGATATGTTATATATGTCGAATCTGTCTAATATATTCTATTTGTCAATCATGTCAGATATATCATATATATCAGACATGTCAGAAATATCAAAAATATCAGACATGTCAGATTTGTCAATCATCTGCATCATATAAGTCCTATTACATTTTATCCATTCACAATATTTTTACAAAAATCCTCTCCTATTTATATGATTTTTCAATTATTTTTTTATTATTAATATTATTAATTATCTCATTTATTTATTATTATTTATCTATAAATTATCTATATTACTTATCAAATATGATAAAAATCTTTATTATTATTTATGATTCAATTGATTTATTTATAAATATAAATTCTAAAGACTTTTGATCATACTCAGATAATTTTTTTAAATAAAATAATTGTCTGAAGCATAGCGGAGGACATTTTACTTCTAGGTCATTCAAATGCAAGGTCATTTTGTCTGTCCAAATTTGGCAAGCCTGATAACCAATGACATTTTGTTTACGTTATCACGTGTTATGTCATTTGTGTTACAAAATAATTAATCATGTGAAATATGATAATATAATTTATATACCATACCATGCTTCGGACTTTGAACAGATCCCGTTCTCTAGTAAATTAATACATTTATTAATGCTTATTTTTTTTATTTTAAAATTATTTTACTTTCTTTAAAAATAGCCTTATTGATCTTTATAAATCATCTATTCTATTTTTATGATGATTATTTGACTTTATTTCATAAAATTCATGGTTATAATAAAAATATATAACTCATTAACCAATCTGATATATCTTTTTATTAGATGATTAGTTATATAATTACTTTCTTCCTTATATTCTATGGATACTAAAAAAAATACTGGCTAGTTAATTATTAATAACTGATATGATATTTATTTATTTAATTTTCTATAAATGTAATGATATCACAAATAATATCATGCAAAAAAATAGTGTTTATGCTTGCAAAATTCTATATAATATATATACAAAATTTTTGCATTATACATATTTGCATTATGTGATAAAACAAAATTAAAATTTGTGATGATTAGGATCGTTAACGATCTGATTCACCTGATTCACCCGATCTCAATCCGGTCTTATAACCCCGATCTTAATAACATTACAAAAAAAAAAATAAAAAAAATAAAAAAAATGCAAAAGCCGAATTTATTAATTACAAAATAAATAAAAAATTATATTTTATTATTATTATTATTGAGAATCGAGAATAAATTTTATTCTTAGATGATCGATCCAAGTGTATTTTAATAATTTTCATATATTGCTGTTTTTGTAAATGAGATCCCCTTCTATATTGATTTAATTTAGCAAGGTTGGTTGCTATGTACCCTTATATTCTGTTATCTCGGATTTTTTTCAAAACTCCTAAATCTAAAGAAACATTGAACTTTTAAAGATTTATCAGTTATTTTGACGCGACATTGTATAAAAATATTACGCCAAAAAAAAGGTTGGGTTTTATATAAGATCGATTTCAAGATCGGTCTTAGGACCGATCCGGTCCAATCCGATCCGATTCGATCTCAACGGACCGAAATCGGCCTTATCCCTAGTGATGATATCCTCTAGATTTGAAATTTTTTCCTCAAACTACACAAATAATGAGAAAATTTGAAGAGAACCAGGTTTTTCCTACTTCATTACAACACCATGCGAAGCTTGGGACGCTCATGAGTATCATGAGGAATGGCGTGCGTATAAATACCCAATAAACAAGGGAAAGCTTACAACGGCACTTTATAAACAACTTGACTGGTTCAAACTGAGGGCTTAGAAGAAGAAAAGAAATCTGCAGAAAGGATGTTGAATCAATTTAAGGTGAGGCCACGCTTTTGCGAGTTATATGGCGGTTGTAGCAGGGAGCATGGGGGACTACGGTTCCTGCCCATGTATAGACTACGGTTCCACCCTATTGTAACTGGGATTGAAGCAAACCACTAGACTACTTGTTCTCTTAGCCATCGCATTAATCCAAAAATCATGAATACATCCACCGATACCTAAACCCACTGAAAAAAAAATCAATTTTAGCTGGCCAGTTTTACTAAAAAAATATAAACGAAACAAAATCAAGGTTTAGCCACACTCCTGCAAGTTCATGAAAGGATCTCGGCGGAACCGTAGTCCATCGCCACTCAAGAACCGCATAATTAACTTGGTGCACCGTTTAGAGAATTGAGAAAAGACCATTATACACTGAACCAGCAACTGATGAAGAAGAATTTGAGGTATGGATAAATTTATACAATGGTCACATAAAGAAAACATTTATCTAATAATGTATATTATTTATTTACAGGAAGAAATTATGTTCTTTTAACCTTCCAATATAACAAAAATCCAAGAGATGAAACAATCGAAAGAACTATTGATGGTTGGGAAGTTAAACTATTGAAGTGGCAACAACATACCCTTAAACAATTAATTAACGGAGTTCAGTATCCATCAAAGCAAAGTATCTATAACATACTTTGTGCTTCATCAATCTTTTACTTTCGACAAGAAAATGGGCCAACATACACTGGTTTTCTAACGATAAATGAAATCGCTGATATTCGATCACATGTCTTATCAAAATTCGAAATAATAGAAATTCCAGATAGAGTTAAGGAGTATGTAAAAGAAAACAAGAAGGTTGGTGAATAAGTTTTATAATAAATTGTATTCATAGTTCTATATATTTTATTAGGATTATCAACAATGTAGTCTGGAGGAAATTGAGAGATTTCTTAAACGTGATGCTGGGAAACGAGCTGATGAAAAGTGATTAATTAGAACGTTTTTTAGACTATTGGAAGAATGTGTGTTATGGGATCCCTTAGTAAATTTGGATGAATTAGGAAAATTCGTGGTAGATTATATCGCACCACTCTTTAATAGTACGATTCATTATTTTAATTACACAACTACGCATTCATGGTATGAGATATATATAAATTTTGCACTTTAATTCTTAATATATAGTTCATTTTATTTTATTATCTGAATTACGCCGAGGTGATGGTCGAAAACCCGATTACAAACTAATTAATCGAAATGGAACTCGTACGGCTGTATTTGGTGAAGTGACTGGTCCGAAACGTCAAAATGACTTACGTAAAGTCAACTGGGACATTTATCGTGGTGTCACTCATGCAAAAGATGACATTGATTATGATATCAACCAACGTGGAAAAGAGTTACAATCACATGAAAAAAAAAACGAATAGTCACTATTATCGGTAGTTATAAAATGTCAGTGTGTGTTATGGAATTGTATTCTCCTGGAATATATCTATTTGTTGAAGTGGTTTCATTTAACATTCCAAAAAATGTTTGAGATTTGGAACAGATTATGATCTTTTATCAAATTTTAATGAGTATCCGGGTTAGTATCCTTCAATATCTCATTAATTTTAAGTAAAAGATATTCAGATAATATAATCTGAAAATAAAGTTATAGAATCTTTTATAATATCTTTATTAAAAGATAATTAATGTAATTTTTAACAATAATAAAACCAAAATATTATACCTTTAAAATAATATTAGTTACAAGGCATTTTTGAAATCGTGTAAATTAAATGGATTTATTAATTAAATATTTACTTTTTTTATTATGATTAATTAAAAAAAAAATCAGAAATAATATTATTAGAAATTTTTGATCACCTTACCATATTTATTTAAAAATGAGTAATTATCTTAAATGATATTATTTTTAATCCTTTTTTAAAGTAAAAATTGAAATTTTTAATTTTTGTCACGTTTAAAATATTATAACATTATAAATATGCAAACTACACCATAAAATTTGACCTTCAAAAATTATTTGACTTTAACGTTCACGTGAAAGTGAAAGATGGACAAGGTTGTGTAAATTAAAATATATAATAAACATAGTCACAAATCTTTTTAAACAACAAAAAAAAAAACCTTCATCATGACAAGTAAATTTTAAATGAATTATCAAATGATATAGGAAAGTTATTGGATCAAGAAGAAAGTTATGATGTTATTATTAAAATTGGAGAGGGAAATAATTCACGGGAGTTTAAAGTTCATTCGTTGATATTGAAGGCAAGATGTACTTATTTTCAAAGTGCACTTTCAAATAATTGGGCTCGTAAAGGAGAAGGTGGAATAATTAATTTTAATAAACCAAACATTTCTCCTAATGCTTTTGAATTTTTACTCAAATATTTCTATACGGCCAAAATTGATTTATCGAAACACGAAATCACAGATATTTTACAAATATTAGTTGCAGCGGATGAATTAAATTTACAAAGCTTAATGATTCATGTTGAACAATATTTATTGGAGAATCAAAGTGATTTATTAAGAAAAGATCCAATTAAAGTACTTCAAATAACTTTTGGAAACGATTTGTGTGCCATGCTAAAAGATTATTGTTTTGAAGCGATATGTGGAGAACCAAATATATTATTTGGATCCAAAGAAATTTTATCAATAGATAAGTCAACATTATTATGTATACTAGAACGCGATGATTTTAATATGAAAGAGATTGATATTTGGAATAATGTAATTAAATGGGGTACATCACAAATCAATGATAAGGAAGAACAATTATCCAATTGGAGCTTAGAAAATATTTCTGGTTTAAGAGAATTAATGCAAGATTTCATTCCTTTAATTAGATGGTTTCACATTAATTCAAGTGAATTCAGGAGAAAAATCATGCCATTTAAAAAAATCATACCGAAAGACTTGTATCAAGAAATTTTATGTCATCATCTAGATCCGACATATGAATTAAATATTCATGTATTGCCTCCAAGAATTTCACGGATAATTGATGAATTAGATTCAGTCTTGATCGAAAAAAAACATGTTACTATTTTTTCAAGTTGGATTGACAAAGAACAAATGGATTTTTATGATAATAAAAAAGTCCCCTATTCATGTAAATTATTATATAGAGCAAGCTAAGATGGTTTTGAAGCTGGAACTTTTCATCGATTGTGCGATAATAAAGGATCGACTATAACTGTTGCAAAAATTCGTTCACGAGGTCAACTAGTCGGTGGGTATAATCCTTTAGATTGGAAACCTCAATTAAATTCAACGAGTGACAGTATTTGGTATCCCACCTTTGATAGTTTTTTATTTTCTTTTCCATCATTTCCGTTATCTACTGATGATTCCATTCCAAAGATCCCCAAAATAGCTAGGGTTGGAAGTATCGGTAATGTTTCAGAGTACGCTATTGGATATAATGTTGATTACGGTCCATCTTTTGGTGGTGGTTGGGATTTATCTATACAAAATAATAATTTGATTTATAGTTATGGTCCTTATTCTTATCCTGATTGTGGTGCTTTTGTAACTAGAAATCACTATCTTGAATTAGAAGAGTATGAAGTGTTTCAAATAATCGCATTAAAAAAAGAATCTTTTAATTAAGTCGAAATCGTAATCTATAACAAAAAAATAGACGACGTGTATAATATGGATACGTTTCATGAATGACCTCATCAAATCTAGTAACATGCGCGGATTTGTCAGCCGTAACAATGAAAAGAACAATGAGGATTAATCAACCTACCGATTATAATCTAGCTTAAAAAGGAAATTTATTATTTATTATTCCTGTATTCAGGAATCCGAATATCACATGAAGACAAAAAAAATAGCAGGAGGAAAAAAAGTAAATTATAACTTAATAAAGTACTCTCATTTACATTTTTGAATTGTTGATTTAAGCATTAATTTGTAATCTTCTGTATATGTTTGAATTCCTTTGAATGAGTGATATTCTTTCCAAATTAGTCACCATTCCGAACGAGATTCAACCATTCGCTTTGGGCTAATTCTTGAAACTTGGAATTAGCCAGAATAGTTTTTTGCCTTGCAAAAAAGAGTGAACTTTCTTGAAGTTGATAATATATAGGATAAAGGAACGCGTCTTAGTATTAATACAACCTTGAAATGTAATGCGCAACGTAGAAAAATTGATCGAAGAGATTGATCATTCTAATGTTGCACAATTGAAATTAGTGAAACAATCAAATCATGGTCGTCGAAACCTTAGCCCCCATTTTTTCGGAATTTTTTTTTTTCCTCCTTTCTTTTTTTATTTTTTCTTTGAAAAATCTAATCCTTATGAATTATCAGAATTATCAACAAAAGTTTATTTTACAAGACATGGGTGACCATGGTGACCATGGTGGAGGAGGTGGTAGTGATGGTGGTGACGGTGGCCATGGTGGCCATGGTGGTTCAATGTGTTCCATGAATGTATTTATTCAAATAATTCTTTTAATATATTTTCAAAAATAAAAATTTACTTATAAATTAAGAGCAATAAAAAAAAAAATTCACTATAATTTTATAAATTTTAGATGCTTTTTAATTGGGATACAGAAAACCTTTGTATCGTTTTTTCTTGGTGGCGTGTAGAAAGTATAGGTTTTCTTATTTTATCTTGTTTAATTATAATTTCCCTCGGAGCTTTTTACGAAATTTTAAGATATCTTTCAAGAAAGTATGATGATTCAATTTATAAATCATCTGATAAAGAATTCCAAGATACTGACTTTGAAGATAATTCTACGGTGACAACAGAAATTGAAACGAACGTGCAGAAACGAAATAGAATTTTAAGGTAACCATAATGACTTTTTTAGAAAAAAAGAAAATGCTTTGTAAATTTCCAACATTGAATAATTCATATTAAATTTCTCCATTAGAATATCATTTAAGCAACAATTGATTCGTTCATTAATATATACCGTTCAAGTATTTATATCATTTTTTATCATGTTAATTTTTATGACTTATAACGGATATTTAATGTTAAGTGTGGCAATTGGTGCTGGTCTTGGTTACTTTTTTTTTGGGAAACACACAATATCACAAAGCCCTGAATTACAAGATAGATTAACTTGCCATTAAAAACTGTAGTATCGATATAACTGTAACAATTCTTTCATATAATAATTTATTTATGAATTTAATGTTTTTTTATATAAATATCTCCAAACTCATCAACTTTACAGATAATAAAAGTTTTTTATGTTAAATTTCAGTTGATTCAGCATCGGCAGGAGAATCTTTGTGAATATTAATTTTACCTTGCATTTCTACCACTACACTACCATTAGTCCATATAGGTTCTTTAATATCTTTAGTAAATTCAGTTAATTCTTTAACGATTCTATCAAAAAGACTTTTATCTTGATTAGCTTGATTTTTTTTACCGCCTCTGTTACTGATAACAATTTGAAGTTGATAGCCTTTTTCTAACCATTCTTTTGCTCTAGATAATTTATGTGTAAGATCATTTGGTGATACTTTCCACGTTAATAGTAATTCCTTTTTTAAAATTGTTGTTTTTTTCTGCTTTTTTTGTTTTTCATATAATTCTTGTTTAGAAATTAATCTACATATTGGTAATTCCTTTTGTTGTTGCCCTTTGGAGAGTTGCTGAGAAGAACTTTTCGATGGGAATGATGTATCTTGAACTGGCGAAACTTGAACTAACCAATATTTAGTCCTATCAATTTCAGACAAAATTTTTTTTAATGGAAATGTTCCTTTTATTTGACCTTCTAAATCAACATAACTAACATAATGTGATTTAATTTCTTCATCGCGTGGTTTATGATTTGAAGATTTCTTGAAATTGGAAATTTGTGATGTTGAAAATAAACGAAATTTGTTGATTATTAAATTTATCGAAATTTGAGAGAATATTATTTGCGGTTTTTGTCGAAGACATATCGAATAATTATATTTTATTATTTTATGTATAATTGTCATAATTCTTCATATAAATTAAAAAATTATGCAAAATTTTGTAATTAGAAAAACTTTCATTCAGTTGATAGGAGATGAGGAAAAAAAACCCCCACCATTTAAATTTTTGTTATTTATTGGTTACACTAGTGTACGTAATGCGCAGGAAACTGACAAAAATTTCTCGATCACGTGATAATAAGTCAAATAAATAGACAGGGTGATAAATAATTGCACGTGATCGCGATATAACGGTATATGAAGCTGATCCCAAATTTAAGTATTTTTAGATTTGCAAATTTTTTGTATTTTTAATAGAAAAAAAATATAATAATTATAAAAAATAAATATATTAAATCTGGATCATATAAAATTTTGTGTTTTTTATTTGGAAAAATTACAAAACTGTTGGAATTTTACATTGATGATCCTTATTGTATAATGTTTATATATATAATTGCAATATACTCAGATGAATTATATTTAAAAAATTTCTAAATTCACAAAAAAGTAGGGTTAAATTATCTATTTTATTAATCAGTCATATTTATTAGTTACTGTTTTAGAATCTATTCAGATTAAAATATACTTATATAGAATTTATTCATTCAAAAAAAAAAGTTATGAGAAAAATGAAGGTATAAATTATTTTTTTCGCGTTTTGTCAAATTTAGATTTTTAATTTTTTTACTGATATTTGAAAAAAATATTAAACTCTTTTATTATATTTTAATATTTTAGAAATATCAATATAGTTCGTGGTAATTTTCAAGTTTGTTGTGTTAACATTACAACAAAAAAAAACATCAATGGTCAACACGAGAGAAACTTATATAATTATATACTATGAATAAGACCATAATAAATGATCAACTACTGATAAGTTTAATATTGAACCCAAGTAGGTTCATGATTGGTTGGAAAATAAAGAACAACTTATAAAAGTTGCATCTTATATCCAAAAGCTTAATACTGATGCACGTCCAAAATATCTATTACTTGAAGCTGAACTTATAGAATAATTCAAAGAATTACGAAGTCAATTGAAAGTTATTTCTCATTACATGATTCAAGTAAAAGTACATTCATTAGCTAGAAATCCAATTTACCAGACATAATAATATTCAGACATAAAAGATGCTAAATTCTCACAAAAATAGTTGATGGTTTTATAATGTGTCATAATTTAATTAATAGAAGGAAAACTACACTTGCTCAACAGCTTCCAGAGAATTATATTGAATAGTAAGTGAATTTTTATTATATGTTCTTTACCTTCGAAAAAAGCATGAATATACACTATTTTTAATTGCAAATATGGATGAAACTCCAATACCCTTTAATTTGTCAAATAATACAACAGTTGAACAATGTGATACTAATTTTATCAACTGGACATAAACGTTCTAATTTTACTATTGTATTAGAATGTATGGCAGATAAAACAAAGTTGCTACCAGTTATTATTTTTAAACTTGTAAATATTCTGTAAAAAGAATTTCCTGATGAAATGATTATTCATACTAATAAAGAAGGTTGGATGAATAAAAAAGAAATGTTTTGGTGAATAGAAAATGTTTGGATGCAATGTGCAAGTCAGAAAAATAATCAAAGATCACTTTAAGTATTGGATTCTTTTACAGTACACAAAACTGATGATGTAAAACGCCAGTTTCACAAAAATAATACTGACTTAGCTATCATCTCAGATGGACAATAGCTATTTGACATTTCATTTAATAAGTTCTTTAAAGCTAAAGTAATTTTATTTTTATTTATTTTCTTTATAATTAAACAAATAAATTAACATTGTTTATATATAATAGATCGATATCATTATAATCATTGAATAAATGAAGAAATTAAAGACTATACATAATCCGATAAAATCAAGAGGCTATCTTATTCACTTGTAGCAAATTAGGTAAAGGAAAGTTGGGATGTTATAGATACTAATATGATTACGCGTTCATTCAAATGCTGTGGAGTTTCAAATGCAATTAATGGAAAAGAAGATAGTTTAATTTTTAATTTTAATAAAGTAGAAAATATTAATAATCTGAGAAGAGGAGTTAAAGAAGATAGAAATGATAGTGAGAGCGAATCATCAGATGATAATAATAATAAAAGTAAATTAGAAGATAGTGGTAGTGAAAGTGATAATAATTATTATAATTATTATAAAAAATGAAGAGCTTAATATAATTCATGATTGAATTTATAAGAATTAATACAGTATGCAATAAATAGTTAAAACGATTACAATTACTGAATAAATAAATAAAAAAATAATTTCTATCGAAATTAAAGTTTGTATTATATGCATTTATGATAAAAAATTACATTCTGCAAATTAGTCATGAGAGGTATGATCTAAGCTGAATATATCTGTCGAAAAAGTGATAGATAATCATGAAAACCTTTTGATCTTTTTATTCCCAAACTTAACTAGGAACTTTATGTAATTTTATTTTTTAGAATGCCAAACTGAAGGTTTGGAACCTTAAAATCTTGGTTCATAGGTAAGTCATTTATTAGTTAATTTTAGTAAGACAATCTGAAATATTGGAATTAATCAAAAGTATAAATTCGTTAGTTATTATATTTATTATTATTTTTTAAAAAATTTACTAATCTGGCTTATTTGAAATTTCAGTGTTTAGCTT